ACTGAACGAATATATTTCATGTCATTCACATTTCATATTTTGGACACCCAAGTACTATTATTTCTAAACTTTTAAATATGTGACAATTCTGTCAAACTAATTGTCAGTATATTTTTTAGTTATTGAGATTAAATCTAGATTAAAATGAGTTTTGTGTAAAATCGATAATTAGAAGCATTTTTATTTTTATTTGGTCCACATTTAAAAAAAAAAATTAATCAAACTATATGAAACTAATTTGATTACGGGTATTAAAACTAAAATCCTAAAAGCTGCGGTGGAGCTAAGGACAACGCTTCTGTCTTCTATGCGAAATTCCCGGGTTCGAAGTTCGAATCTGGGCTGGGGACTGATTATACTAATCTCTTTTTTTTATAGCTTAGTAAAATTCATAAATTATTTTAAAATGAATTATTTTACAATTATTTATTTTGTATGAATAACCTAAAATCATGTTTTAAATTTCTAGATTTTTCGTTTGTGGGTCGTTGAAAAAATATACTATACAGCTCGAGTAGATTGTATATACCTATGGCCATCATGTCCACTCTTGTTGCACAAACTACTATTATAAGAATGCTATTTTCTACACCCACATGGATATTAGCTTATCTACGCACAGATTACAAAACGAAAAAGTATGATATTGCCTTCAAGTGAACGAATGTATTTCATATCTATTCTAGGAAGTGAGAACACGGCAAAAAATTTAAATCCACCAATCACCGTTCATATTTCGATCAACCGACTGCAAATATTTTTAAAATTTTCAATAAGTGACAAGTCTGTCAAACTAATTGTCAGTATATTTTTTAGTTATTGAGATTAAACATACATTAAAATGGGTTATTCTTGTGTAGAATCGATAAATTATAGCTTTCTCTTATTATTTTGTCTATATTTATAAATAATTTGTTAATTTAAATAAAACTATTTAATTTAATTATGGGTAATAAAGCAAAAAAATAAAAGAATAGATGGTCCTGTGGTCAGCGTTCTTGCCTTCCACACGGAAGACTCGAGTTCGATTCTCGGATGGGGAAAAATGAACTGAACTTATTTTCTTTTTTTTTTTCGTTTATTTTATTTTAAAATTATTAAAAGTCATAAATTATTTTAAAATTAGTTATTTTGTCTCAATAACCTAAAATATTTTTATTTGTAAATTTTCGTTAGTAGGTCGTATAAAAAATATACTGTACAACTCGAGTGGATTGTCCACATCACAATTAGACAATTGAGCACTCCGCCTACGGCGTCTATTTGCTGTCATCGGCGTCGACTACTACGGCCATTAGCACCGTGTTCTGTGTAGACTTTGTCACTGTTTCCCAGCGCCACTTTAGGAACCGCACTGTTAATTAGAACCCAACAGTGAATGGTCGAGTGGGGAATCCTACCAAGGCATCAGAATTAATTTTAAATAATTAAATTAAATGAAAAAATCCCGGCCAACGGTGGGATTCGATCCTGAGACCTTCCGATCTCAAAGTCATGACTCTAACCACTGAGCCAACCCACCCCCCATATCCACTCTTATTGCACAAACTACTATTCTGCGCCTGTCGTCGTCTACGACACCACCATACTTTTCTAGAGCGATAAATCTGTCAAATACCTACAGACCCAGTCAACTTTTAACTCAAATTTCAAAGCGTTTACTCCTACTTTGGATAGTAACTATAGAAAAACTAATTTTAAGTAAATTAAAAAAATAATTATTTGTACTTACGAAAAGCCTATATCTATCTTTTAAACAGACTTTTTAAATAAAAAAAAACGGATCAATTGAATGAAATTTTCTGTATTTTGTTTTTATATTCGTCACAGAGCACATGCTTAATCAATTTTTGACACTTACATAAAAAATATCTTACTTAAAATTTCTATTCAACTAGGATTTGGTAAAAAAACTTTCTACAATAAGCGAAGACAATTTTTGAGCAAAAGATCATTAAGTAATGGTAGAATAATAGCCCGTTCATCTGTTCTGCCACGCTTACTAGATACAAAGATAAAGAACAACAGAAGGTCGATGACGAGGACGATGACGGGTAGGCCTTTTCTTGGGCGCCAAAAGACAAGCGGGAAAAATCACTTAACGAAAATGCCATATGTCAGGCCCACCCCCAGTTATTTCTTTAAGAAAAGGGATGCAATTTCAACTCGGTTTCGGGGTTTTTGATTATTTCAAAGATACTGTGGTTTTCTGTTTTATCTTGTGGTCTATGAATCGTGTTTTATTGTAATCATAATTGCGCATATTTTTTTATACAGTAGCGTAATAATTAGTAGGTAATATAGACGTTTGATTTTTTACCGACAGGCAATAGTCGAGTGGTACTATTACATGGATAGTCGAATTGGGTAATTATAGAGGTCGTTTTGAAAATAATTTAGACACGGTTAGGATCGGATACAATCAACCGCTAATTTAATCTTTTGTTTCTTATTATTTCGTAATAATCTGTTAAAGAAATTGTTTGTTGTTGGTTAATATTATTGAAAAAAAAATTACAATTACTGTTTAAATATCAAATAATATAAAACAAATTGTGTCAATGTACTAACAAAAAAGACATTACTAATTAAATGTACACAATTCATTTGCTATATACAGAGTCATAAGTAATAGGCTATATTGAAACTCGAAGAGGATATTTATATGCACATTTCTTTATAACATAAATTTTAATAATTAACTAAAAAACGGCCACCTGTATCGACCCAAGAACCATCATCAGGCCTTAGCAAAGAAACAATCAAATTTGGACGGCACAAATTTGAACACAGAAGTTTTTAAAAATTAATAAGGGTCTGATACTATTTAAAGTCAAATTCGATAAAATTAACTGTGCCTTCAAAACTAACAACAGGCTTATTGGTAAAATATTCAAATTGCAAGTATTATACTGATTAAATAGCCATGTATGTAACTAGTGAATTTTTGCAGGACGAGCAGAGCAACATCCCGCAAAATTAACAAGTTTAACAAAACGACATTTCGTAACGTGTTACATGCAAAATTTTTTCTACTTTTGACTAGATTAAAATTGTGTTAGAAATAAAAATTATTGACATCTATGCAGCCAGTATTACTTTCTTGTATTGTTAGTTGCATATACATATGTTCATTAAAATCATTGACAAATAGAAAATCGTAATACTTTATTCTTAATGATTTGTTGTAGCTTGTTTAAATTGCTTGTTGAAGTTATTTAGTTTTCAAGAAAGTAGTTTATTTTGTTGTTGTATTTGATTATTTTGTACAGATTTAAAATAAGGACCGATTATAACTAGATTGAAAGTTTACTAACCCAATTTTATTTATACAGTATGTCCCTCTAAGTTGGAATCATATGGAAAACTTTTTTATTATTAATTTTAGGAAAAAAGTTATTCTTCATAAAAAGTTCTGCATTATCTAAAACCTAGAATACAGTCATCAAATATCAAATTTTTTTCAGTGGTTTAAGAGGTTTGTCAAAAAATATGAGCTTTACTCAAGAGTAAAGTAGCTTTATTCTTTATACGACTAATAAAATTTGATATTTGATGGTTGTATTTTAGGTTTTTTGACCTTGCTTGACTTTTTATAAAGAACAACTTTTTTTCCTAAAATTAGTAATAAAAAAGCTTTCCTATGCCACCAACTGTCTACGTAAATTGGCGGCATATGAAAATCTTCTTTATTATTAATATTGGGGAAAAATTCAATTATATATACTCCATAAAGTGCTTAAGGTGATTACAGAACCCCCTTATTATTTTCGGACAAGGATATCTAAAAAGTAATTTTTTTAAAAAATTAAAATTTTGGCAAAATATATTAGGCAATAATATCTAGAATATGCATATATTTTAAAGTTTTAATTCCTTTCAGTTTCCGAGAAAAAAATCAAAGGGGTTTAAATTTTGAAATATCATAATAAAAATAAATGCATTCCTCAACAGCACTATTCTTAATATAATCCCTAAATTTAAGCTCTTAATCTTTTGTTAATGATTTTTTAAAATTCGCCGAAATTAGTGGCTAAAACGCCTTATTAAGTGCTATTTTCTGGTTTAAACTGGTGTAATCTGGTGTAAATCGTTGCAAGAAACGAATGATGACTCAGAGTGTACCATACGATAGTTACAGCCGCGTTACACTAGAAAAAAGTACTTAACGGGGCGTTTTAGCCACTAATTTCGGCGAATTTTAAAAAATTATTAACAAGAGATTAAGAGCTTAAATTTGAGAATTGTATTAAGAATACTGCTGTTGAGAAATGAATTTATTTTCATTATGATATTTCAAAATTTAAAGCCCTTTGATTTTTTTTCTTGGAAACTGGAAATAATTAAAACTTTAAAATATAAGTATATTCTAGATATTATTGCCTTATTTATTTTGCTAAAATTTTAATTTAAAAAAAAATAGTTTTTGAGATATGCTTGTCCGAAAATTATAAGGGGGGTGCTGTGATAATTTTAATATATTTTGAAGATTGGCCTTTTTGATGACATTTCGCATTGTTTCCCATCTTCTGTTGAACATGAAGCTCCCTTAAGGCATCCATTTGGACTGTATGTAGATTTTCAGACCATTTTATAATGCCAATGCTTGGCATTCGATTATCTTTCTAGTTCCACAATACGCAGGATATTCTAACTCAAAACAATAAAGACAATAAGAACTACTACATATTTATCCCTAGAACCCATATGGATGATTATACCATCTCGCGTTGTTATGAAATCATGTAGAAGTCTGAACAGACTTTTTCTTGTAGAAGTTTTTAATAAGTGAGTTTCAACATATCATCATGTTTTACAAAAATAATGGACGACTGTAAATTGTCTTTCCTGTAGAGAATATACCGTAGACACTGTTGTTTTGTTACAGATAGTAAACATAACATTTTTTTAAATTTAATATAAATCAAGAATAAATATTACATAAAAGAGTAACAATCGTTTTTTTTTTGTTTCAGTGTGGCCCAACCATTGATAGTAGCATGATAACAATGGAGTGTCAGCCAGGTGGTCACGGGGGGCCTCTGGGACACTCCATGATGTTAGATCCATCGGGAGGTGGAATGCATCAGCAGGATTCCGATCACAAGAAGAAACGTAAGTAGATTTCTTTTTTCTTTAAAAAATAAAAAAAAATGAGAAGGATGATAGTGTAAGTGGAACAAAAAATATTTGAAACCCACTTTTAAGAGCCAGTGTTTTAACTTTGAGAAAAGTTGAAAGTAAGTACATGCTGAAACGATTGTAGTGCACTATAGCCAAAAATCATCAAGTACTTACTTTTAACTTTACTTAGATTTGCAAACACTGCCCTAAGGGTCGATTTTTTCACCTCTGAGTAAAGTTACATGTAGGTTTACATGACAGATTAGCAAATAATAGCCCTATAGTAAGTTACTTTCAACTTTACTTTACATTTTTTGTAAAAACAAATAAACTAATAGGTATTAAGAGAGTACAGAAGTGCAAAGCAATTTTTTTATTGGTCGTTCCGAAAAGAATTTCTGAATGTTGATAATAAATAAAAGAAAAGTTTAAAAACATGATCGACTAGCTTCAGCTACTCTGTATGTTGACACTAGGCCATTTTGTGGTTTCGCCTTACTGTTTGGGGATTATCAGCCACAGTTCCTCAATATTATTAACCAAACCACCTATACTAGTATTTTGATCCTATACTTTGAATTTTCTGTATTATATTACAAATTGTTTTTCTGAGTGACGAATTTGTAAACCAAAGTAATCAATCACAAACTCCACGATATGTCGCTTTTATAAAAAAGGCCATTTTCAAAATAAGTTTTAATAATATTAACAGTTGTTCTACTGCCCAAGTAATATTTATAGATTTATCCAAGTATACCATAAAACCATTTCTTAAGATACTGATAAAACTTTTGAATTGTGGAGATAGCCTTAGGGCTGCTATAAATCTGCTTTAAGAGTAAAATGGAGATTCCTATAACGGTTCTTAGGAGTATTTTTAAAATAATATTTTAAAACTAATTAGTCAAAGTTAAAGTCCGCACGAGTATACTAAGAATTTTATTAAACCATCTATATGTTCTGTGTCGGTACTTATGCGGAACACCCTGTATTTGACAAATTTTACTTTATGTGGTTAAACGCAGTATACGCATAATAAACAATAAATCTACTATCATTGTCTTTGGTACACAAATTAGGTCGTCACTAAAATCGAAAGATTTTAGAATTATTTAAACTTTGAACATAATTTATTTTAATGTTCAAAAGTAAGTAATTTGAATATCCAGTATAGGTACAGATAGATAGGTAATATTTTACATGATATGGTTAAACAGCCACTGACATATTTAAAATGGAGGATTCCCTCATTGCGCCTAAAAACCGATATTAGCTTATAAAACTAATAAAGCAGGACTCTAAAGTTTTAAAAAGCTCCTGAAACACTTTTTAAAGCGTTTCATAGAACAATGGCAAAAACAAAGACCTCAATAAAACATTCATACCTACATTCAATCCTTAGAAGGACATACCCTAACCTTACTCTTCAGCTTCTTATTTGCTCTACGAACAAGTTATTAAATATGAAAATTAGTAATAATATATAATTCACTGGTCATTTCCAGAATATTAGGGGCCTCGGAATGTTTCTTTGGTATTTGTTCAGCAATGGTACACAATGGGTGGTACACAATGAGGTAGAAAATATATTTATCATATATTTTTTTTTTTCAATGGAAATTGCCACTTTTCTTTATTTTGTGCAATTTATCTTGCAAAGTCAACATAATGTAATTGGAATAAAAAGCTAGGTTATGCTCTAAAAGAAACTTTAGTTCTTATTAAAACTATGTAGTTTTAAGAGAGCCCTATCGTTTAGTAGATTAGATAAATTATAAAATTTATGTTGTAAAATTATACATCAATTATTTAAGTTAAAGTATAATCCTAAAATACTTTTTAAAACTAAGTTTTAAAACCTATTACTAAAAAGTATGCCTTCACCTTATTAACTAACCCTTACAGGACAACGGTAAAGCATAACTTACTATAGGATAAACTAGTTTTCTTAAACAGATTTAAAGGATTCTATAAAATAAAAAAAATAACTGTAATAAAATAATTACAAATTTGTATGTCTTTACAAAATCCTATTAAAACATAAATAAAACTTGTTTCCCCTAAAAATGTTACTTGAGTGTGTACGTCTGCATTACTAAACTTTAACTAATCTACAGAATTCAGTAAAAAAAATCACAAAAAGTTGGTTATAAAAAAAGTAGCAAAAACATATTCGAACAATCTTATTGGAATACATACCCATTAGTATTTTAACATTCTGTATTAAAACATAAATAGTAATAGTGTGAAATACATTAACTTTTGACGCTGAATTTAAATCTTATACATGTTGATCGCATCACATTATTCTCACTTGGTATCATTTCGAACCTGTTTTGAAATTATAATCCAAAAAGGGTAAGAACGGCCGGTCTTTCAGTAAAGATCATATTGGCACCGATTTACAAGCGATTGCATTACTCCATAAACATAAACCATGTCTTCCAACAGACTATCGGCCAGTTTCACCATTTGGCGCCCACTAGAAACGCGCTGTACGATTGTACTACAGTTTTTAAAGCACACGTTTACTCTGAAATACGATGCCTCGAATTAGGGAATAGGTGCATGCTTACTCGCACCAAAAAATTATTACAAGGATTCAAATTACAAGCTAATTTTAGGGAGTGGGTGGATCTCAAAGTGATTTTTCGTCTTGATGACTCTTTTAAAGGAAAATACTATAAAAAGATCGTTTTGTTTATCACAATTTTTTTAAGGTCCATTACAGTAATTGTACTGATTATACAGTAATATTGGGATACACTGTAATTTTTATAAGTGAATTGGTAAACTAACATGACAAATTAGTGCTGGATTATAGATAATTTTGTAAATTGCCTCATATTGATCTTGAACATGAAAGTAATAACAATAACACTCAAACAACAAATTTGTGGTTGCATTGTTGTATCCAAATCAGACTACGACATCATAGTCCTTGAGTTGATGAAGAGATTTCGGTAAATTATTAACAACTTTTGATAGCGACCGTGTTCACTTAGTTGGATAATTACCAAATAAAAAACTGGATTTTGTTTTTTAAACATCGTCAATGTTTCTACCTTTACAAGGTCTTTTAAAGTTAAAATTTTATTCTAATTAAATCATACCTATCTTCCAGCTAAATTCTTTTTTGCCAATTTCTTGTATACCGATAAAGTCTCCCTATCTATTAGTTCAAGATCTGGGGGCTGATTTCTGCAGTTATCTGTGAATAAATGATTGAAAACAATATTACATTGCCGTCGAGAAGCCCAATTATTAAATTTGGCCGTAATTACCGTTAATTAATTAAATTGAAATTAATTTATTTTAGTAAATTCTAGAAATATGTTTTTTAAATTAATTAAACGCCATTTGAAAGAGATTGACATGAAAAATGTGAAAAAATGGTTGCCAGCTCTCAATCAGTCACAGCCACTAGGTTGCCAGGTGTGAACAGGTATGTTATTGTTAATTATTTGCCCTCAATAATAAAAACAGTAAAATAGTTGAAAAGTATAAATTTAGATAGCGTCTACACTTTTCCAACGGAATGATAAACAATGCGCATAGCAGTAATCTATGCTATACTGCGACCTTGTCTACAACAGGAAGCAGCGCGCGCATTCCTCCTCTCTCTCTCTCTCACTCCCATTTAGAAAAAGAGTTATTCATTCAAATACTGGCAACCACTATATGCGGCCATTTTTTTACCGGTATCCATAAACTATCGTGCTTAGCAAAAATTAAATTACAATTCAGTAAATAACTTTTTTGAAAAACACAGTATGTACATATAATGAACAATAACATATCTGTTCACAGCTAGCAACCTATTGACTGCAGCTGATTGAGAACTAGCAACCATTTTCTTTTAAATGGCGTTTAATTCATTTACTAGAATAAATTAATTACATAAAGAAAGGTATTCAACTGCTCAAATGCAAAATTTTTAAGAAACGATACGCAAAATCAATCCCACACAAAAAAATTTAATTACTAAATTACATGGCAACGGGTTCGAGCCTAAAAAGAAGAATGAAGTAAGCTACATAATATTGTCATATATAAAATTAATTGCAAACCTATAAAAACTGATAAAACAAGTGTTATACAACTACTGTGAACATCAAAGAATTCTATAAAACTAACTTATGTTCAAATTATGAACCAACTAATGGTTGCAAGTTATTAGGACTAAAATAGTGGTGGTTAATATAAAAGGACAGACAAAATTGATGAGGTCCCTAACACGAAAAAACATGAATTATACCAACATATTGAACTAAAAGTTCCGAAGGTTTTAAAGGACAGACCTTAGTATCGCTAGTATCTCTGGAAAATATATATAGGTGATTCTGGTAGTTCGAGGCAATATTCCAAAAATATCCAAAAATGGTGAAATGTTCCTAGGGTTCGCATTCCAGTAGCTCTACTAATTAAACCAGTAATAGGAATGGCATCGCGCAAGCCAATTGAAATTTTGTGGGTTTCACCACACAAAATGAGACAATAGAGAGCAGACAGAAGGATGGCAGCAAGGCCCAAGTAAGGTGTGGAAGCAACCTTTATCTTGCTTGTTGGGGTTCTCAGCATTCTCACCGACCAATCGAACGACAATAAAAAATGTTTATAAACGTTGGAGAAGGTAGTAAAGCACCCATACAATACCCGTGGCGAAAAAAACGTGAATTCAAGAAACTGGACAGCCTAAAAGGTAATTAAGTACAAAATGGCGTGCTTGTCACGAGCATGCGCAATAACGTAATCTGTACAAAACAATTTTTTTGAATATCTTAATATAAAAAGTTAAAATTAAACTGATTTAATAAATTATAATAATTAATAAACAATAACTTAATCCAAATCTATTGACCAAGTGTAAGAGAGAGGATGACGAATGTAGCGTAAATAAGCTGATATTATTTTTTCTGCTATTACTTACATAACACAAAGTAAGTCTGTCATAGGTGAGTGAAAAAAGATGGAAACAAGAAGTGTTATTA